TCTTCCGAAGTAAGATAGCCCTCATGCTCAAAATAGTAGTCTAGCAGTGTGGGGTGGGATCCAGCACCATATTAGGGTGTGGATGGGGTCCTTGCCCCTTCCACCGTGTCCATACAAACAAAACTACTTTGAAGTCTGAAATTCTGGAAGTTCCCACTATTGGGGTCATCAGAAGAGGAAGGATGTGGGGTGGCCCTTGGAGTACCCCTTTTTTCTCTCACTATCCGGGTGAACTTAACCTTTTATGAAATCTCCTTGCATCAGGAAATCCCAGGATTTTCCTACGAAACTTGCACATTTAACCAGCAAATCTGGTGCAACCCTCGTTGTGCTCCAAACAGTGTCTGTTTACTCCACGAGAAGGGTACCGTTTCGTGCTGTTAAGCCCTCGTATGGCAAGCCAGCACCTATATGGGGAAAAACCTGGATGCTTTAGATAGGTTTGAAAAACAATGGATTCTCACGTCCCATTGCCCTTTGAGATAGTCCTAGAAAAATATCTGAGCTATCCGGCGGACCTCCAGCGGACCTGCATGCTTCTGATTACTCACAGAGCAGAATCACTCCCAGGGAGGGTCGATAACTGATGTACAAAGCACCCAACAGTCAGAGGGCAAATAACTAGCACCAAAGCGTTTCCACACCTCTATGTCAATTCACCTCCACTTTAGCTTCCCTCCTCATGCCTACTTCTAGCCCTGGGCCTCTCTTGAACGAAGAGTGCCAGTCGTAACAAAAACGGTAACATTTTCCAGCAATTTGTATAGAAGATAAGTAGCCAAGTGGGGCTGCTGGATGTAAAAAGTCGCCCTGACTTTCACTTATGGAGTGTAAGATTTTGAATGTAGGTATTAGTTGATAAAGTATTAAACTACTTTCCTGTTTCCCTACATGCCCTAAAGGAAACCCTGAATGCTTCACATGATTTTAGCATATTCCTTACATGAATGGGACGAGTTGAATTTCATTTCCTACTGCCAAGTAACACTGCATAAATGCTTTGGAGTGAATTAACATAATGAACACTATATTCTATTGCCCGAATTATTGTTTTCCTCCCCTCCCCATATCACTGCTATTATTAGAATTGTTCTCTGACTGTGAGAGCATCTCTCAAGGGACAAGCTCGCTTGACTTAACAACCGCTTCTCTAAGTCCATCAGGCTGGCACCTGCAAACCTACGATTAGCTTAATACAAAAGTTAAAGGGAAATGATAAAGTAAATGGGAAATATTAAAGGTGATGAGAAACATAAACATCACTGGTTAGCTCTGCAAAGCATCTGTTTTCTGCAGATCTTAAAGCATTTGCAAAGTCTGCAGAATTCTACAGAAAAATCCACTACCATGTACTCTCCACGTCTACAGGGATTTGCAATAGATTTGCAATACCTTGGAGAGTTTTAAAGGGACTTTTAAAGTGAATTCATTTTTACTTTTGTCGCTTGTTTTCTCTCCTAGCTGTCTTTGTCTTGTTTTCCAATCTGGGTGGCACATTCAGCAGATTGCTCTTTACTGTTGTTTTCCGCACTTCGTTTTTTCTGCTACATGGGATAGGGGACTTCTCAACCACTGAGGAAGACGAGGTTTCAATTCCAAGAGCTTGCAAGCACAGAGCCAGATATTCAGATTGTCTGACTCTCTGGATGCATTCATTCTCACCTATCCATGCAAGCAATGGGAGGGTATTGAGATTTCAGAGACTATTTCTTAGCCCTGTTACCCACTGAATTCTTTATCTTGTAGATGTTACTGAAGAAAGGAGCGTGCACGTGCTCCTTTTAACCACACATTTTTACTTGGCTTATATACACCTCTGTGGGACTTGTGCTGTCAAGATCTTTTGCAGACTCTTTGAGGAAAATTTAGTTCACCAGTCAACATTATGGTACTAGTGTACATTTTGCCTCAGATTAGTAAGAAAGTCCAGGCGACTTTATGTATTCCCTCTAAACCTCAGGCACAACAATACTGTGTAGGGGTCTGTTTGATGAAAGTGGCTGAGATTTCACAAGTTTGATCTCCTCCTTTTCTTCCTCTACCCCTGACCTGCCAGCCGAAACTCATGCAAAGCGGAGGAAGACATGGCAGTAAATGCAGGAGACCAGAGTCCTAGAGGTTTCTAAGCCCTGTGCAGAATCCATCTCTGAATTATCTGGGAAGGGAATTCTACTGATTCTTCAAGATTAGGCAGTTTTGTGAGTTCTTGGTTGCATGCACACAACTCTTTAGTACATTGGCCTTTAGTCCTTGGGAAGGGAAAGGACTAGGAATCGTGCTGTAATGGCTGAGCTGTGCGTCTGGATTCAACTGTCTCTAAATCGTCACCTAACAGAAAGTACTGCAGTCCTAAATCTGCTTTAATTCATCCATGGAGAAGATAAGCGCAGAAGCACTGGCAGACTGGAGTTCTGTTCTGTGGTACGGTCTACTCGTTCATCCTGCCCTCCCAACTTCTTGTGTAGGAAGAAAGTGGCCTTATGTCAACAGAAAAAGCTACTATGAGAAGGTTATTTTCCCCAGGTTATTTGCAGCTGAAATTCAGCCTTTTTGTCGTATTTCAATAGTACCAAGCGGAGGGAATAGGATTTATATTCTTACTTATGAATAACAACATCAAAAAGGTTTACAGATGCAATCATCAAAGAAATGAACAAAAAGCTAAAAATAAAACGATGGACTAGTTGTGCGATATACATAGTGGCAATTGTCTATGATACCCTGTTTTGGTGTCCAGCTGTTCGATATTTGGCTGGATCTCCATCAAACCTTGCACAGAAAAGAGATTATTATCTGCTGGCACTAATTATAATAATTTTCCTCCAGGCTACTGTTTGAATTGGAGCCCGAGATGTTCTCATTTTTATTACCTGACAGGTGACTTGCACAATGAGTTTACGTTTCTTTCTCTTCTCCTCAACTACAGTTCAGCTTTGTTTGATATTTTCAGCACGCACTTAATACATCCTGCTGCAAATTCCAACAAACTGCAGAAAAGCTCCTGGACTTAGTCTTTAAATAATTCCCTCCTACCAACAAGGTCAGATAAAAAGTAGAAGGAAAGAGGGAGTGAGGAGGCAGGAGCAGTTTTGCTAGAGTAAATTTTCAGTTCTTAATAGGATAATTTAAAAGCTGATAATATGAAGAAACATAGTTCTTAATGAAAATATAGAGTCGCTCAGAAGAGGGCAGATGGTCTGATGAAAACAGAAATGCTGGAGATCAGTAATCATTCCGTATTGGAGAATTTAGTCAGGCTTTTTAAAGTCAAAAGTCAGTAAAACGCTCTAAAAGCAGCACACACAGGAAAACAGGAGGAATGCTGAGTGTCTTCTCCCAAAGACACAAAAGATGCTCCCGAAGAAAGCTCCACCGTGTGAGTACATGACTTGGAGGAAGAGATGAAAAAAAAAAAAAAAAGCAGCTATTCATTCCTTTTGGTGCACAGGTTGCTACAAGCTATGTAGCATGCCTCCATTTCACTTCCCCAGATTTCAGAGTGCTTTCAAGTGATCCGTCTAAGGAAATCAATGGCTATTGACAAGCTCTGTAATTACATTTACAAGCCAAGATTTCTAACCCTCTGCCACTTATTTAAGCGATTACATGCCTTCTAACCTGTTTTGCTAATGATCACCAATGTGTGGATCCAAGCCAAAAATCCAATCACGTTGCAAAACACTGATTTGCATTTCTGCAGAAAGATACTGTTTCTTAGGATCCATGCACTGTTCCCCTGAAAGGAAAGCTGATGAATACAGCTGGGTGAAAAATGCAGCTGATTGTCACAGACCCCCTTTCCAAATTCGGGCTGAACTTGCCGCATCGGTTTGGCTGGGATTTGGGGGTTTGAACCGGATTCACAAATCAGTGCACGGAAGGGGTGTTCAGTGGTTGTTTGCTTTGGTTGGTTTCTGTCTAGTGCATTTGCCTGCAGCTGGAATATATGTCCAGCATGAGGGAGAACAATATTCAGACTGCACCTCAGCTTAAATTCTATCACATTTCTTACCTTTAAGAAGATTGTCTGAAGCACCAGATCAGGGTTTTGGTTTTCTGTTTTTTGTTTTTGGTGGTGCTATCTCAGCTGTCCTCATTGCAGCCATTTCCCTTGACTAAGTCAGAGGATGCTGGAAATATGGATGTGAAACCCCGTAAGAAGACACGGGAGTTGGTAACACCCCCAGCTAGGAAATGCTCTGGCTGTTCTGCTCTTGGATCGGGGAAATATCATACACCAGTCGTCAGCTGTCGCAGTCTAGTGTGGTGCATTTTAAATGATAAAACTTACAGGGGAGAGAAAAACTGGGAAGGAACTGGGTTTCGGTTAACTTTCAGAGACTCAGTCTATTTTTCAGGTAAGTACCCAAAACTCTGGATAAGCTTTATATTCCTTTGTAGAAACAAAAGTGTATGCTCACAACATCAATGCACATTTTACTAGAGAAGCTTCCAAAATCCACTTTCAAAATTTGTGCATGAAAACTACGTTCTTATGTGGCCAACGTTCTCAGGTAAGGTGGCTTTTGCGGTGATCGCTGCCCTCCTGAAACCCATCAGCTTCACCTAAAACTACTGGAAAAACATTGTGCTAAAAAAAAGCGTGGTGTCAGTGGAAAGAGGGGAGCTGGTGCAACAGATGATGGGAGGAGCACAAAAATCCCGAATACCTGCCACCAGTGATGGTTGCTGCACTACCTAGCAACTGCTACTAGAGCTCTTTCTGCTTAGTAACTCTTACTACGTAATAGCATCTGTTACTGAGTTTGCATACTGCTGATTTCACATGCCACAAGTGAAGCTGTTGCGTAGGAAGAAAAAAAAAAATATGATCACATGCGTCTGGCTTTCATTAGGCCTTCTTTTTTGTTTTTTTGGCTTTCCTGTAGGTAGGCTCTCATAGGATTTCAAAGAAAGATTTTTTTTTTTCGGAAAGTATTATTATTTTAAACCTACAGAGTTACTCCAAACAATTACCAAACGTTTGAGAGAAAATTCCAAATTGGTTTCGTGAAGCTGGAGGAGCACAAAGCTAACGGCTGCGTCTAAAACTCTCCCCACCGCAACCAGGGTGCGCTGCCACTACGTCACAAGTGTCCACGCTCCATGCACGGGGGAAACAAATAAAACGTGATGCTTTTGATAGTTCTGAGGCCTGCAAGCATGAGTGTGTGCATGCATACGTATTTAGCAAGACTGTTCGTCATTTTGGAGATTTGCAAGACCGAAAAGAAGTCCACCTCTGCGGTTAAAACTCATAAGAAATGTTACCAAGAAGGAGGCTCTGTGGACTCTACAGTTGAGCTCTCACTTTTTCAGAAATATGTCTTTCCTGGTCTCTCTTCTTTCCACTGGTGGGAAACAAGGGAAATACACTGCAAAGGTGAAGGGAGTTAGCAGCCTGCCCTGATATTTGAGCACATTAAGTAGAGACAGGTGCCAAAAAGAGGGCTGAGGAGGGAGAACGGAGGAAAACACTGAGAGAAACCAAGTGTGAAATCTAGCCCCTGCTGAAGCCAGTGGACATTTTACTCTTGACTTCAGTGGGTGCAGGATTTAATTTAATAAGCTGGTGAAATATGGAACTCCCTTAACATTGTTAGAGCTGCTACAGCCTGGTATGGATTTGTCCCTTGAGTTTGAATACATTCCTGTCCTGGTTCCATTTTTTCCATCTTTTTCCTACTGTTTTCATTTTTCTCTCCCTTCAGCATTACCAACCTGCCTCAGATTAAGGCATCGTGGAGGCTGACTTACTTGGCCTACTTTTGACATGGGAGTTTTTGCAAAGACTCTTCACTGGGCTCTTTTGAGATGGGAGGCTTCCACTTGCTATCTGGATGCAAGAGCAGAGGCATGCTCTGTATGCCTACGGTAGCTGTGTGCCACTAAGCACCTACCTTTTCATCATATCCTTCTCCAGTAGGTACTTTTAGGTTGCCAGTGGGATTGCGCCTGCTCTGGAAGGCAGCCGTCAGCTGTGCCTGGGGCCAAACTTGCATGCTTGGTGCCTATATGCAGATGAAGCCGATCTCGAATGTAGCCTTGGAGGCTTTGTCTTTAATAGTAAATTAAATGGTCCAGGGAGCATTCTCTGTCCATTCAGCTGACCTTTCTTACCGTCCACAACGGGATGGACACGTTCCAGGTGCGTGATAGGAATTATTCCCGCCTAGGCTAAGTCCCACACCAAGCCTGGGCACTGGGAGAATGTCATTTGGTCCAGGTCAAAGTCATACCAGGCATTAATGATTTAATGGTAAGGGAGATGTTTGGAATGACAGCACTTGTGTCTTGCGTCCTGCTCTGCTCCTTTTCTTATGTAGTTATAGCCAGCATCTGACTTTTTGTAGTACAGAATCACCCAGAAAGACTGATCTTCTATTGCCTGGCATTGCTTATAATAGTATGAAGAATAATTGGTAAATTAATTTTTTTTCTTTTTCTTTTTCTTTTTCTTTTTCTTTTTCTTTTTCTTTTTCTTTTTCTTTTTCTTTTTCTTTTTCTTTTTCTTTTTCTTTTTTCTTTTTCTTTTTTCTTTTTTTTTTTTTTTGCCCGATCATCAGCCTTTGCCACTGACTGGAAAAAAATCCTAGTAAATTAAAAAGTGGAAAGAAATGCTTCATTTAGAACAAAATATTTTCTTTAATCTAAAATATGCTTTCTTTGAGATTGAGGGAGGGGAAGAAGTGAGGTTTTTGAATCGATATATTTTACAAAAAAACATACCATTTTGAACATGTACAAAATGTATTATTTTACATAATTGCTTTAGGATTTTTTGGCATGAAAATGTCATCCAAACTGAGCGGAATTTGTATTCTATCCGGACTGTTATAAAAATACAATTTCTAGTGAAAAAATTCTATCCAAAAGAATTCTCTCCATCTTCAGTGCAAAATTGTGTTATGTAAAATTTTAAAATGTCACAACTTCAAAAATACATTTTATCTTATACGGCCTGTCCAAAGGTAAAAAATTCTCAAATAAAGGGAAACGTTAATGCTTTTTCTACCCCAGCTTTCTGAATGCTTACAGAGTTGCTGTTTTTCTTTATTTCAAAGATAATCTCAGCAGTTTCCAAAACCAATAAAATCCATTAGGGACTTCCTAAGTTTGTATAGCTTGGTTTATATTGCACATTGCACACTTTGGATGAGGTGAAGAAGAGATGGGACCCAACCTTGTAACCTGGTAGTTATCCGACTAGTGTCCACAGTAGTGTGCATTCCTATTCCTCTGAAAATTCCACTTTATCTCCGGTTAGGAGAAAATCCTCTCCTGCGGATGTGATGTGAGGCTCTGTGCCATGCTGGGCCTTGTTCTCCTTTAGATATATTATCTCTTGTTGAGTTCTTCCACCCTGTTCACATCTTTCATTTACCTCCGCTTTAAGATGTATTTTCTTGTTGCATCCCTACTTTATATGTTAGTTTGGATCATACAGCTAAGGTGTTGCATCTGAGACAGATTTTTCCATTTTGCTTTATTTTATTTTGTTTTGTTTTATTTTGTTTTATTTCCTGTCATGCCTGTTGTAAGGATATCGGTGTAATGAGGCAACTTATAGCAGCTGGGGAAAATAAAAGGGAGGATGTTTGCTAAAATTCAAAGTCAGATCCGTTGAGAACTTCGCTTTTTGCTGTGCAGTATGGGCAGTAAATGTGCTTGCTCCTTTGGTATGGAAATCATCTTCAAACTGTACCATCAATATTCATCCCATATCACACCAATTAACAAACTGTGAATAATTGGGAACTCAACATGAATGCATGAAGGACCACAAGCATCTAGGTAGCTACTAATAAGGACGTGTTTGAAGTAATCACACACAAATTTAATTTTAAATGTGCTTTTTCCCAGAAAGGTGTCTCAATGTTAATTAAACAATTTAGTCCATATTCTTTTTTTAGGAAAGTGAAATTGTTTTAAAAACCTGCCTTTAACTCTAAATGAGAAGCACAGATTTTTTAATCAATAAAAGAATGCTTGATTTTATTAAAATGACATTTTAAATACCTTTTAAACCTCTCTTAATATAATCAAAATGATGCTTTGTATTTCAAAGAGCCACTCTTCTGCTTAGATAGCACTGTAAAAAGAAAAAAGCATGAAAACTACTAAACAAACCTAAACCTTTCCAAAAATTGCTTAGCTGTGCCATTTCTTTGTATTTTCATTTCACAACAGAATCTTCTTTGGAATTAGAAAGTGAAAGCATGGAAATAGCATGGAAAGCAATTTCTTGCAGCATTTTTTAGATCCTTAAGGAGAGTTCAGATGTAAGCTGGGTACCTTTAAGAATTATCAATTTTGTTACAAGAAGGTCAGCAAACCTAAATTGATGTCACAATTTTCCAGCGTCCTAACTGATCCCCAGCACAGTTCATAATGTAACAGGGCTGCAGCCGGATGTACTGCAATTTGTATGTGATTACTCACCTAGCATTACCTTCATAGAATGAGACTATATAATGAGAAGCATTAACTAAACAAATATTCATACGTGGAAATGATTTATCACAGGTATTTAAAGAATCAGTATTTCCCATGCTTCACTAACTTTATATTTAAGCAAAGCATAGGACCCAATTCTGACCTTAAGCTGTGCATCGCCACCTCTCACAGTTTTATTATGAGTCTTATAATGTATTTTTAACTGAACAACAGTTGGAATCAAGAGACTGCATGAGTATTGCAGCCTCTTTTTTTTTTTTTTTTTTAATGACTGTTTCTAACATACAGTGTGGGAGATTAAACTTTATTATATTTTTTGCTTGGTGCTTGGCATTCCAGCTGCCTGGTTTGCAGCACTGGCTTCAGAGAAATTACCCTATAAAGACAGAGTTCTGCAGACCAGAGTCTGGTCAAATATTACAGTTTTATCTGTCCCAGCTTTGGCAAGTGGGCATAGAGAGGGGTCGGCTTTCCCAAAATGTCATACATATTTGATCACTTTCAAATGAGTTTCGAAAGAGCTCGCAGTGGTCCTTTTTTAACAGTGTCAGTTGCTAAGACTTTGCTCTCTCAGATATTTTAGTGCTCGCTTCCTGCAAAAAACAGCACTGACCTGTCGCGCACAGTGCTTTCCCTTCCTTTTGATAGCAACACATGGAATACAGCACTGACTTCTTAAAAGCTGAACCTGAGGAGCTCTTTCGAATC